ACATTTGAGGGTTAAATATGCATTCAGTCACCTCTGTCATTCTGCGACTGGATTTATATGCATAGTGGAATTTAGAAAATAATAATGGAATTCTCGGAATTTCTGGTGTTTTCACTACATTTTTCGCAGTGTTATGACGTTTCATATATACCTAAGAGAATTGAGTGGTGAACAAAAACTGAGATCGTGCTTTTGCTCACCACTCAACTCTCAATGGAATTCTTTTTGTTTATAGAGACGTGGTTATGGCGCACTATTTAAAACTTTTCGATTCTGTTAATTTTCTGTTGTTTTTTTTTCATTCTAAATGCATACCACGCGGATCCTCATCAAATATGATTAAATAAATGAATGACAATTCTTGTTGACTACTTCTCCGGGAAGGCTCAACTACTTCAATACTTTTGAGAATATTATTCAATTCCACCGTGCTTTCTCTTAGACAGGCCTGAACCATTTTAATAATATTGTCACAAACTTGATCAATTCTTACTAGTTCCGAGTTATGAAATTTTTTCCAGTTGCTCTCGACCTGCAATAATGATGAACTTCTCGGGACCAAGCTTTTTTCACTTTTCTTTCTGATTTTCAAGAGCCATATCGCTTGAATCTTGGCGATTTCAACATAATGAATGATATCCAAAAAGGCTTTTCATGCGCTATAGAAGCTACGAGAAAATTCTATTTCACCCTCTCCGCGCATTATTTGCGCGCTAGCATTTGCTCGTGACTTTTCGCAGACTTTTGATAGTTATTTGACATAATAGATCTCCTTATTCCAAAGCTGTGCTTTGTTTCAAGAGAAGGACTTCATTGTCCGCTGTAATAAGAAGAAAAAATCACTGTTTCCTTCTATGACGATTTGTGAACGAAAAGCACAAGAGTGTATAGAGGGAATTTGTAATGGAATAAACTCTATCATTTTCTTTTGAAACGAAAAAGAATTCCTGAATGGGTAACAAAAAACGTGCTCTTATGACACGGTGATTAAAATAGCTGTGCGCAAAGTGATTAGAGTCGACCGCGATTTTCTTTTCTTAATTATAGCTTTTTTCCTCGCTTTGGAGAAATTTTTTAATTTCACCTATTGCAAGTGTAGAAAAGTCTCCGATCTATCGTTTCATAGGAAGAAGTTTTTTATATCCATTTTGTCTCACTAAATAAACCCGCTGTAAAGATTAGGCATTAGTAACTACTTTGACTGACAGACGTAATCTTCTTTTCACTCTTACAGCGCACTTGGAAAGCCTTTCCAGAATCTAAGTTAGATATTGGAATTGTGGAGATTTAAGACCTAGTGAGAAGCCAAATAAAGATGCTAATCGTGCACATAATCAAAGCTGACTGTGAAACTGAGTAATTCTCTGGTTCGCTATACGCTTTACGCGCGTTAACAAGACCTTCTAAGGGAGTGATTGCGGAGTTAAAATCATCGAGAATCAAGCTCGCGAGTGTTTCTCAAAAGTCTAACAAAAATTCTGTGTCTAGTATGAATGGCCTCTACAGAACCTAGAATCACGTGTTCGAAGAAAATGCTTATTCCGCAGAAGGTCCATAAGGATCTCTGAGCTCTGTTACTGCTTACATTAACGTGTAGCGGTGTTCCAAACTGAAAATCTCCATCTCACTTCATCGCTTGGGTGACCATCATGGCAAAATGAGCCCTCTATTGTAAAACACAACACAGCATTCGAAGGGATTTCTTTATTCTCAATATACGCCGCAATATTTTACAAATAGCCGCATTTACAAAGTTAATATGCGTGCACTTGTGATGAGTGTTATATTAATTCATCAGCGCAAGAACTTACATATCGTGTACTTTCAAATCTTCATTAATGTCATTGAGATTCCGATTATTAGAAATAATAGCATGAATCTGCCTCGATTAAACTTTTTAATCCTAGAAGAACGTCAATTTAAGCATAGAAATAAAGTACTGTTGATCTCTCACCAGCAAGTGAAAGATCAAAAATATCAAACTGCCGTACTGATGCCTCTAGGGTGATGCTACTAAATGATTTGAGCAAAAATCGTATAGCTGACTTGAAAAACATCCGTAGTCCTTTTTTTATACCGCTCGTTTTGAGTGTTCTCTTATGACTACATCCAAGTTTCGATAAGCCTGATAATAATTTTTGAGCCATACATATGGTCTATTATGGGCACTTTACAGCGCAATATGCGTGATTCGGCCTTGACAGCCTTGTCAATTGCACTGTTCCTTTCGCCTTAGCCAATCTCCTGTGGGTAATCCCCAACACCCCACACAGAATAGGCCCAGGCCTACGTATCAGCTCTTTTTCGTCAAGAATTGCATTAAATGTAAACCATTCAAAAACTTAAACCTCAAGATCTTCAATTAGGTAGATTCAGATGACAATCATCTAGATGTAGTGCACACGCATTTTTTTTATTCTACCAATCCAGTAGAACTGTTATAACTGCATGTCCAGATGTTGAGTTATAAGGAAAATTTGAACTTCAGGCAAAAGTTTAACTTGTGTCTCAGTCTTTCCGGGTCAAAGCGTGCTAACCGCTACATTAGCGGCTCTATTAATCGCCCGACTTTCGACGTACATGTCATTCGACTTTGTAAGATATGTAATTATAACATCATCCAGTGCTAAAAACGGTCAAATAAGGATTTCTGATCGATTACATATATCCACTAAGTGCTAGTTTGACTGTGTTCAGTGCCGATTTGCGCTCAAGACCAAACCGATGACAGTTGGCTGCTGATAGAATCGGCATCTTGTATCGCAGAAAGAGTTATAGCAGACCAGGAGTTCCGACAGTGCAGTGGCTAGCACGAAGTTTTGCGTATTTATCACCATTCTCAAACATTCTGATAATATGATAGCATGAAGACATGTTTTAAGCCTTTTATGAGGTCTGGTGCAGCACTTATGCAGTACTAGACAGTTGCTGTTTCGCCCTTACAAGCTCATCAGTAGCACGGTGCCTTTCGGCTCAGCCGATCCCTTGCAGTGGACACACCTTACTTTCAAAGGAATCATTCGAGAATGTTCATTCCACTATGCTCATTCAAGAATGTTGAGTGCTTATTCAAGAATTTTGAGTCATATGCAAAGTGCACAACGTCAGTTGGAAGCTGGATCCGCTTTTTTTAACCCGAAGCCCATTTCAAGCAACGCACCACTGAGGCGCTCGGTCTACAATCATTCCTTCTGTGAGGTAGGTAAATAAGTTTGTATGAACAACTATGCCATAAATAGACACCTAACTAATAGAATTTTCACATTTCAAAATAAAAGGACAAGTTTTTCTTGAATTCATTTTTATTTGACTACCTCTTGCGGTGGTATGATGTTTCAATATACCCAGTGACGTAGAGTGGTGTGCAAAAACGTTCGCGTCAGTTGGGATTCGAACCCACTTTTCACTCTTCCCGGAAGCGCAAGCTGTGGGTTCGAATCCAATAAGCGTAAACGTTTTTGCACACCACTCTACATCATTGGGTACATTGAAACATGATACCACCGCAAGAGGCGATCAAATAAAAACAAATTCTGATTGATTATCATTACCCAATATCTGTCAGCATAAGTGGGTTCGGATCATTTCCTTTAGCCGAGCGTCACTTCGACCCCTTGTGAAAGACGTTTTTCTTAGTTTTTTAATGCTCAAATAATCGTTCGATAGCACAAATCGAAACAATTTGAATGGTCTATCTCATTTTCAAAAAAGCTTCCTTTTCTCTGAGAGAGCAGAAATAAAATTTTGTTTCTCATTGAAAGATTTCTCGCTGACCAAAGCTTTTCCTTCGGATTAACCAATCGATAGATCAAATCTCAAAAATTTCAAGGATTTATTTAATTTTTATGATGGATTTGGTATTACACTGTAACAGCCAAAAGAAGATTGGGTTTTGCAAAAAAGGGATCATTTAAACTAACCTCTTTTCACTTCGATCCATTGGGAAAAGCGTATTTCTTGATCGTTTCTAGTGTTTAAATGATCAATCGATAGCTTAGATAGAATAAAAGAATGGTGTCATCTTATTGTGTTGCAGTGAAAGAGCAAAAATAATGATTTATTTCTCAATCAAATATTTCTCGCTAATCAGGACTCCTCTCATATAGTTTCAAAATGTCAAACGATAGATCAAATCTCATGGATTCCAGTTATGTTTTTGCTTTCTTTAATCGACTTCATAGTGCTTCATAACAATTAAAAAAAGTTTCGTTTCGCTTTCAATGCTTTTTCAGTTTTGCGAAGCCCATTCTTCTTTTGTCTGTTACAGCGTGATATGAGGTAGATACTCGAAACTAAATAGATCGTTGAAATTTTCAAAATTTATCTATCGATTAATTCTTCGGAAATTGAAACTTCAGAGGGAGAAACTTTGATTAGTAGGAAATCTTTTAATGAGGAACAAAATATTTTTTTGCTTTCTCAGCAAAATAACAAGGTCTTTTTGGAGAAGAAAAACATCACTAAAATTCTTATGAACTGAACTATCGAATGGTTACTTGAACATCAAAAGCGACCAAAAACTACGTTTTTTCCAAGGCATCAAAGTGAGGAACGGATAAAAAAATGATTCAGTTTTCCGAAACCCAACCTTCTTTTGGTTGTTACACCGTTATGCGTGGTCCTTTTTGAGAACAAGTAAGTCAATGAAATCCTTAAGATTTGATCTATCGACTAATTACCAAAACTCTGGAGGAAAAGCTTTGATCAGTTAGAATTCTATCAATGAGGAACAAAACTTTATTTTTGCTTTCTCAGCGAACTAAGATTCATTCCTGAAGACGAAATAAATCATTCAAATTGCTTTGATTTAGTCTATCGAACGACTACTCAACTGTAAAAACAAGCGCAAAATAAGCCTTTATCCAGGGGTCGAAGTGGCGCTTGGCTAGAGGATGTGTACCGTGTGTTCAACGTCGATAGCGGCTGCCCACGCCACAGCGTTGACGGTTGGCTGTTGACAGATAACGTGTTGTGGCGCAGGAGGAGTGGTGTCAAAACGGGCTTCGGTAGTGCAACGGTTTAGCACGCGCTCCTGGAAAGAGTGAAATATGGGTTGGAATCCCGCCAGACGCAAACGTTTTTGCGCACCCACAATTTTTTCCTGGTCCGAAAACTTTCGCTAGCTTTGATTACTTCACGTCACTCTTTTTCTTATTAGTTCTCATTTTAAGTGAATAACTAAGCTAATTATTTCACAGGTAAAGGTCATAGGCATAATCGGCGAGGTGCTAAAACCACCTGCTGCTGGTCGTATATGCTTAATAGTCAATTAATATTGCTTCCTGCGTACATTTTATACACTATATAGCATATACTATAAGCTTCCTAAAGAGGCTCTAATCTTGGCTGATATGCGTAGTCCATAATAACACAGAAACTCACTTTATCAAGACTCTTTTCGGCAAAGCAACCGAGTAATCAGGTGTGTGAAAAGAGACTATTAATAGGTTGGGGATAAAGTTCTGAGGAAATGCTTGTTACTTTTCGGGTAAGGACCATTTTTTGCGTTTTTGGGCTCATTTGAAAGCCCGTCTTCTCCCGCGCTGGTTAATAAATAATTTATCTACGTATTTCAAGATGGAGTCAAGAAGCGAGCAAATCAGGTTGATGATGATGCACGAATGGCTGTTGGGTTCAAATACAACGACGGCAAGTGAACACATCAATGTGGCTTGAGGATAAGGCACAGTTGGCAAAGGTCTGGTGTGCAGGTGATTCAGAAAATTTGACGAAGTGCTTGAGTTGAGAGGGAGTAGTTGGAATATGAGTGTAGGGAGTATTAAAGAAAGGAAGATTTCCAGGAAAAGAGTTTTGAAGCATGCATGTGGTCTTTCACAGGACAACTTGCACAGCCCGATAGACGGGTTCCAGCCTTAAGAGCCTCGTCAGTCGGGCAGTACCCTTCGTCTCTACTTTGGCTAATCCTTTCGGGGAAACCCAAGCCCTCATATAGAGTTGGCGATATAGATATTCAGTGATATTTTTATTCAATGGAACGTGTAAAAAGTGCTCTTGCGCCAACTCTATACAAGGAGTTGGGTTTCCCGAGAGGATTGGCTAAAAGGAAGACGAAGGGTACTACTCCATTGCCGAGGCTGTAGCCGCAATACATGCAGCGGGCTCTATAAGTTGCCCTATAAAAGATCACATACATTGCTTAAAAAAATGACTTCCAGGTTAATGAAATTTGAGCGTGGTCTCAAGAAAACACTTGAAACAGATAATTTTGAAGCACTTCACACTTATCTCTCATAAGTTTTCACAGACTGACTCAAGAGCCATGTTTGAGTTCAAATAATATGTAATTATATCAAAAGATCGACTGTTTTTGAAACCCCCAAAAACATTCAATATAATTCCAAAAAAAGAATGATTTAAGCTCAAAAAAGGGGGTTGGTAAGCCCAGGGTCATACACCGGTGTTTCGGAGGTTCGTCCTCCTCATCAGTGACCCCGCCCCACATTGAGCCCTGCATTGAAGCAAGGAGGGTGGCGTATGTGGTGATGGCACAGTGTACTATGACACTGTACCATCACCACCTCTCAGTCGATAGATTTTTGCTGTTAGATCAAAACTATATCAAAAGATCGACTGTTTTTGAAACCCCCAAAAACATTCAATATAATTCCAAAAAAAGAATGATTTAAGCTCAAAAAAGGGGGTTGGTAAGCCCAGGGTCATACACCGGTGTTTCGGAGGTTCGTCCTTACCAACCCCCTTTTTTGAGCTTAAATCATTCTTTTTTTGGAATTATATTGAATGTTTTTGGGGGTTTCAAAAACAGTCGATCTTTTGATATAGTTTTGATCTAACAGCAAAAATCTATCGACTGAGAGGTGGTGATGGTACAGTGTCATAGTACACTGTGCCATCACCACATACGCCACCCTCCTTGCTTCAATGCAGGGCTGAATGTGGGGCGGGGGTCACTGATGAGGAGGACGAACCTCCGAAACACCGGTGTATGACCCTGGGCTTACCAACCCCCTTTTTTGAGCTTAAATCATTCTTTTTTTTGGAATAATATGTAATTATTAGGATAGCTCAGTGTACTTTTTCGATATCAAACAAAGCCGATGACTTGCTATATATTACGTCATATCTAATTAGTCTGATGGGATGAAAATTTTGCGTGATAGTCTGGTCCTTGATTGAACTTACCTTACTCGACGATAGATCAAATGGTTGAGGAACAATTGTCAAAAAGAGGTGAGTTATTGAGGCGAGTTATTACAGTAGGTTTTTGTCGTGTCTCACTATGTGCTCACAGACAACTTTATCTACCTGCTCGTTAATCTTGTTACGGATGACGTTAGGTGTCGCTTGTTAGTGTACTTAGTGATAGTAAAACTCAAACTTTTCCGTCGGTAGTCGTTTTAGGGAACCAATGACAATTTTTCACTCACTAGATTACTTAAAAAGTTATATAAGTGATTGTTTTCTATACGTTTAGAGGTAGATATGATTTCTAAAAATTTGTTGTTTGAATAAATCATTTTCTTCAAAATTCCCAGAATATGAAATCAAATTTCACACTATTATGTTCTCTATTGAATCTGCGAATAGTGAAGACATCAAAAGAACGATACGCTTCATGAAATGCTTCCCCTTTAAAAAAAAAGAGATTTGACTGAGAAAAGTGGCAAGGGTATAATTTTCAGTTCCACTGAAGCATTAATTCCCTATGGATAAGGTGGCATTGTAGTTATTAGCAAAAATCTTTAGAACTAATGTTTTCTATTTTAACCAACAAAGGACAATTTGAGCTGCGTTGTGTTGGTTTCAATTCTAAAGTCCTCCTTCTCTCATCATGTGATGCAAAGCATTTAATTTCCAACAGGGGTGCGGAACAGCAAACGTTAGCAATGCTGTACAATATTGTGCCTATGTGGTTTTTGGTTCGACCTTACTCAGGACAAAGCAAGCCTGCTATCCAAACGCGGTTGTCACTTTGGTCCTAGAACTGTTCAAGAAGAGCTACCTTGGATCCAACAAATGCTTACGGCCTTCTCTGCGGTAGAAAGTTGAGAATATCGTAATCGACTACCTAGATTCTTCAAAGAAATTCAGTCCACCCAGCGTTTAACGAAATTTGAGAGATGGAGGGATTCTTAGATGACGTCCTAATCTGCTCTCAAATATAAAGAGCTCAATGGATGACGGCAGCGAAAAACAAAGTCAGTGAAAAGAAGTCTTCGAGAATATTCCCAGCCATCTTTGCGAGATTTGTTACGCTACATTTTATATCAGTTTTTACTAGTTTGCATTATATTATATATTAGTTACATATACTCTTTTATAATATGTATTAGTTTTGTCTTTGTGTGGGTGTAATAGACACATAAACAAATGTTTCATAAGCATTTTCTCAGAACTTTTTCCCCAACCTATTAGCTAAAGCGGGATAATCACCTGCGCAATGAGTCCCACATTTCTACACCACTATTTCTCTGATAGAGTCACGATATTAGATTGAAAACGACGAAATGAGAGTTCTTCCTTGTTAATGCTTTTCCCACGAATACATATTAATTTATGTTAGGTAGCGAATGTCATTTATTATAATGACTTTCGGGGCTGGAAACGTATTGTTAGGGATTTCGTTTCATAGAATCATAGATCGTTTCATACTATCGTAGACTTTGATTCAATTCACTATGTAACCTTGACGATCAAGAATTAGTTTCAATTTCATTTCGTTTACAATTTCATCTTTATTTCCAGCATTATATTTATTTAGTTGAGATCAGATCTTCGTTTGTCGCTGCCATGTTCAGTCTCCCAGAACTCAATAAAAATGCGAGTAGAATCATAGCTGTTTTTGCACAATGATATCTAATTTCAGAGTTTCTGCACATATTGTACCTATGGGATATCACTAAGCTTTGGTAGTACTCACGGGCGACTGCTTGAGCTGTCGCAGACCTAATGATTATTTATTAGCATTGAAGTGCTTTCTGTGGACTTCCCATTGAATGAATTCCATGCCTTTGACTCAGTGAGCATGTAGTATAGTATACAATGCTATGTTTAATCAAGCGTGCCTACGCACGCATTCATAAGGCGGATTAAAGGTAATCTGATTGAGTAGACAGGAAAGCTCTGTATCCTCTAAATTCACTTTCGCTTATGGGCAACTTTTTGAATCAGTGCTTTGATCAATCTCTGACACCACTTTCCTCGCCAGTGGACGCGCGTTGTGGCTTCAGTGACTTCTATCAGCTGTACTGTTAATCCTATGCTTCATCTGGATGGTATCTGCATAACTATGGTGTAGATGTCATCCGACAAATACGGTCATTTGTCTCGGTTTGCAAGAAAAGGGAACTCTTCGAAGCTCCGTTGGAAGTGAGTCAACCAGACTGGTCAGTTAGTGTAAAAAAACACTTACTTGATACATTAGTGAACTTTCACAAATCATTGAATAGACCAAATATGCGTCCAATCACCTCTTCAATACTCAACAAAGCCGGATGTGTGACGCATCCTTATGCAAGTAATCAACATCAGAATGCTTTCCTTTTATATTCAGAAAGGCTAATTTGGCCGTCTTCCAGATTTTGTACATCAGTGCCTTAATTACGTTTTGGGCAACCTTGCTCGTCTCGGGAGAGCCACGCTTCCCACTAGCCACCTTAGATAGGAGAAAAAGAGAGGGGCAGAATAATAAAAGCATACAAGATGCAAACTTCTGCGGATATATTTTTACAGTATGACACATGGCTGTTATTAGTGGTATAGACAGTGGCCTTCAAAACTAGTGATTAGTAGAGCGCAAGGCTCTAACGAGGTCAGCGCGATTGCCGAAACGCACATTAGTTCCTGGTATAAGGGAAAAAACGGCTAAATTTTTATATGGAAATTCGAAATAAGAGTTTTCTAAAAGCAGTTGAAACATAGGGCAATACTTTTTGTTCACTAAGTTCGTTACTGTATATCAGTGAGTCGTTGTCGAGTTATGGGCGAGCAGACGGATTCTCTTCTTCGTTTCGTGATAGAGAAGCGCTGCTTTAATATCTGTTTTACGAATTGAAAATCAGTGCCGCAAAATGATGTTTAACAGTTATCTCCTC